TTTTTTTTTTTTTTTTTTTTAAGAGGTTATATGCTACAGTCTCCATCTTAACTAGTTTTCATATTAAAAAAACAACTTTGGATACACTACATTTTTACAACTTACCATATTTTCTTCCTGCACCAGCCATAACACATTTAACCTTGTGACTTACTAGAACTACCATATGCTGACTCAAGGCTTTAAAGGATTGATAATGCTTAGCTAATTCTTATGGTCACATGGCCCTACAATAGAGACAAGACTAGTCCTGGTCCTGAAAGCAGTTGTTTCTTTTATTTACAATTAGCTCTATAAAAAGCATAAACACAGAAACCTGTCAATGATTTTCTAAAAAGCAAGTAATCAATTACTCAACTTACCAGAATTAACCTAGTATTTTAGAAAACGCAAAATAGCTTTGTAATAGTTTTATATAAAGCAGAAAAGGCACTACTTTAGCATGATAAATGTAATTAGGCTTATCGCCACAGTGAAATACTTACTACATGAATAAAGGTAAGTATACTTACTGACAGATGCCCACAGCAAAACTGCAATTTTACTATTTAAAAAATACCAATAGTCTTTAAGAAAATGGCTCTGATCACCTCAAAACCAGAATACTCCAGAGACGCATACTTCATCCTCCTGTTATTTCTCCCCAGAAATAAAGTGCCTGTGTACTGTTAGAAGATCAGATTATGTAATAAGTCCCAGGAATACAGGACAGGAAAGGGCCCCTGATCCCTGTGCTCTGTTCACAGGTAACCCTTTGTCTAAAAGGGACCACAACACACATGCTCTGACCTCTATCTCATGCACATGACAGGAGCAGGGGAGACAAGTACACTGTCAATGCCTTGGCCACTGAAATAGCAAGGAATTTTGTTAGGTTCAAATAAGCTTACACAGTTGAAGGTGGACTATGCCCTGCACTAAAAGAGGTAACCCCCACCATCCTCACCAATCTGACTGGGGAAAAAAAAAATCTTCCTGATACAAAGTCTGACAGTGAGTTTGACCCTGAATACATGACATCATTCAACTCCTGAGAGGTGGGTTATGATTTATAAGCATAGTAGAACCCAGATGCTTCACAAGTTTAGGCCCCTCCCTCCCCACTTCTCAAGTTTAAATTTAAAGCAGCACTACTGGAGTGAAACAGTTTGTTAATTTAAATCTTCAAGTACTATGGTAATAAATTCCACAGAAGTAGCTATAAAGAAATAAACATCAATACTACATCCATCACGAAGAAATAAACATTTCACATATTTTGTGGAGTAATTTTGTGGCTTATTTCCTATTTTATTACACCATTAACTGCCCAAATGTCCAGGATAAACAGGATACTACTTACAACATGACTAACTAGTTTATAGTTTCATAGTTAGTAGGGTCGGAGGGGACCTGAGCAGATCATCAAGTCCGACCCCCTGCCATGGCAGGAAAGAGTACTGGGGTCAAACGACCCCAGCAAGGTGTTTGTCTAGCCTCCTCTTAAAGACCCCCAGGGTAGAAGCCAGCACCACTTCTCTTGGAAGTTGGTTCCAGATCCTAGCCGCCCTGACCATGAAGTAGCGCCTCTTGATGTCTAATCTGAATCTACCCTCTGCCAGCTTGTGACCGTTATTTCTAGTTACTCCTGGTAGTGCTCAGGGGAACAGGGACTCCCCCAGTGCCTGCTGGTCCCCTCTGACTAGTTTGTAACAGGCCACTAGATCCCCCCTCAGCCTTCTCTTGTGCAGGCTGAACAGGTTCAGGTCCCGTAGCCTCTCCCCACAGGGCCTGCCTTGCTGCCCCCGATCATGCGAGTGGCCCTCCTCTGGACCCTCTCCATGTTGTCCACATCCCTCTTGAAGTGTGGTGCCCAGAACTGGACGCAGTACTCCAGCTGTGGCCTGACCAATGTCGCAGAGGGGGAGGATCACCTCCTTGAACCTGCTCGAGATGCATCTGTGGATGCATGACAAGGTGTGGCTGGCCTTCCTGATTGCATCCCCACACTGCCGGCCCATGTTCATATTGGAATCAATGATGACTCCAAGATCCTTTTCTGCCTTTGCACTGACAAGAAGGGAGTTCCCCAGCCTGTAGGTATGCTGCTGGTTCTTCCTCCCCAGGTGAATCACTTTGTACTTGTCAGTGCTGAATCCCATCCTATTCTTGTCGGCCCACCCCTGTAACCTGTCTACATCTGATTGCAACCTATTCCTCCCTTCGAGCATGCCCACATCCCCCCCACATCTTAATGTTGTCAGCAAATTTAAACAAGGTGCTTTTTACCCCCTCGTCCAAGTCACTGATGAAGATGTTGAACAATGCGGACTCGAGGACCAAGCCCTGGGGGACCTCACTGCCCACATCCCTCCAGGTCAAATAGGACCAGTCCACCACCACTCTCTGGGTGCAGTCCTCCAGCCAACTAGTGACCCATTTCACTGTAGCTGTCAACACCCACAGTCCCCCAGTTTTTTAATGAGAACGGGGTGAGACACAGTGTCGAAGGCCTTCCTAAAGTCCAGAAAGACTACGTCCACTGCTACCCCTGCATCTAAGCATTTTGTGACCTGGTCATAGAAGGCCACCAAGTTGGTCTGACAGGACCTGCCTCCAATGAACCTGTGTTGGTTGCCCCTAAGCATAAGCTCCCCCCCGGCCCCTCGTGGACATGTGCCAAGATAATTCTCTCAGGTTAATCAGGTCTGAAATGCAACACCTGCCAGGGTCCTTAATGAGCTAGCACAGGGCTGTCCAAATGGCAGCCCACAGGCTACATGTGGCCCTTGAGGGGTTAATATGCAGCCTCCAGGCTCCTGGTCCAAGTACTGCTCCTCTCATAACACTCCTGCTGCCAAAGTCTTCAGGCTCCATTCTTCATCTTCTGGGGGTGGGCATGGCCTGCAGGGCCAAGGAAGCCTGTAGCAGGGGTCTCTCAAAGGACACCAGCCCTGGTGTGATGCAGCAGGGGTCACCTGCTACAATAGCAGGTGTGGCTCACACAGCACAGTGGAGTAGAGGAGTCCAGCATGATGCAGCAGGGCAGTTCACACAACAGCCCAATCAGAGAGGGTCCCTGCCACTCAAATTTAACAGCCAAGGTCTGACAGGTAAGACTAAGAACTCAAGTCTGCTTCTGGATAGTGAAATACTATACATTTTATCCAGCCTTGGAATAAGTGATGCTGTCCTCCTACCTTTTTGTGTCTGCATTCTTCACAATCTTAATAATTTTAAGGTGCTAGATATGAAAGATATTTTCTCTTAAAGGGATGGTAGAAGAAGAAAGATTACAAAGGTAATGCATCTATATTCTTTAAATGGAAAGGAAAAAAAAAGTCTAGGTCATATTACCCAGGCCTAAGAACAATTGCTTTCCCAATCACTCTGCATCCTTTATAATCAGTTGCCTGTCCTCCTCGTTTTTTTAAGCCAAAAACTGGGAACAGAAAATTAGAATACACATAGATCTTTGGCTATTTCTGTTATTGTGTACTTGCCACGAGCATACCCTGTTCCTGTTTCTTGGCAAAGAACTCGTGGATGTCACTCAAGATACAAAGCTGACCACTGTAAAATGGCTTAGACTGAATATGGAAGTATTCTTCATGGATAGTGTTATCTTCTGAACTAAGCTATATTCATGCCAAGTTCGAAACAAGCATAAAAGGAGATGCATGTTTTTTCTTTCCCCAAAACAGCCATGTTATAGCTTCCTTTTGCATATCTGTCTGCATGCAAAAACAGCACGACTCCCCAAATTAAGCCAGCCTGCCTGGCCTGCTAGCATAACCTCTTCCAACACTGGTTAACCATCTTATCTAAAAGCTAAAAGATCCAGAAGTTTGCATTTCTATTACTGTATGGCAGGCTTTAGCTCAAACTGCAGAGTTTAGCTTTTAAACCCAAAGGACTACAGGTTCATTTCCTCCAGACAACCCAATCAATTTCAAGTCTGAGTACATACCATGCCAACCATAACCGTTGTGGGCATATGAACTTAAGGAAAGCTTCCATGGTTAGTGGAAATGTAGGCCACACACAAAAGAATGGATGCAAGGAAAACTTCTTTTTAGTCGAGTGCCAAGGTTTTGGAACAGGCTCCCCCAGAGGTGGTACAGTCACCCACCCTGGTGATCTTCAAACAGCATCTTGACACCCACCTTGCTGGGATCATCTGACCCCAGCAGTCTTTCCTGCCCACATGCAGGGGGGCTAGACCCAATGATCTTGTAAGGTCCCTTCCAGTCTCTAACATCTATGAAACTATGAAATAATGTACTGTTCTTCTATGCCCTTTAATTGGCTAGATCACACAAAAAGGTTTGTAAATCTGCTAAAAACTAAGGTATCTCATCCTTTACTCCAAGAGGCAGAGACTTGTACTTAGAGATCCATCGGTTTCGATAGCCAAAGACAGCCATCCCCAGGACACTACCAGCAACCAGAGCCTGGAG